TTGTCTGCAGATGGTCGTCGTCTTGGCTCCAGAGATGGAAAAAAAAATTGCTACTGGAAGAGCAGACGGCGTCGTTTTTGCTCCAAGAAAAAAAAAGTTGCTACAGTATGTAAAAATGGAAGAATCTACTGTTCTTTCTACAGTAGCAACACATTGCCCTTTTTATATAGTAGCGATTAGTAAGTACGCAAGTAAAAAGATTGAAATTCTTGGATTTTATTTATTTATTTATTATTATTATTATTTTTGTTTTCTTGATATTTTTAAATATTCATTTTGGTTCCAAGAGAGAAAAAGTAGTTTCTATTATTCTAAAATAAAAGGCTCTCATTTAAATTAAAAATGGAAAAGAAAAGGAGAAAACTAAAGAAGAAATATTGCTTTAATATTACTTAAGTTCATTTTTGGATGAAAGGGAAAATTCCTATTAATAATTTTGATGAGTGGATAAATTTTGAAAGTGCATCCCCAGGTCTTTATGGTGCAGCCAACTACAGCAGATCAAGAATAATTCACTCACAGGGCAAAAACACCTAACCTAGAAACCCCATGACGCAAACCCTTCCACCACCACCACCAGCTTCCCCCAACACACGCACACAATTTCCTAAAGATTTCACCACACCGCACTGTTTGCATGAAATCGAGCTTTTTTTTCTCTCTATGTAATTTTTATTATCTCTTTAAAACGATTATAATACAGTCTACCTCCTCTGTTATACCCACTTCAGCATACGGATTTTTCCTAATTTCTTGTAATCTTTGATACGCATTTACATTTTTCCAGAACCCTATTTGCGTTTTTGGTGAAGTAACGTATTTTGTGAATGGTTTTCTGGGATTTTAGATTAGCATTCGATTGATTTTATTGGTGTAGGTGGTTCAATGTATTTACATGAACTACTTTTTCTGACTGTTAATGCTTTTTAGTTGGCGTCATTTTGTTAAATGGCTCTCGAAAATTTTGCTGAAATGTTGATTTTGGTTGGTGGATATGTTTGAAATATTGAGGGTAGTATTGGATCATGCTCTTTCTGCGCCTGGTTCGCAGATTTGGTACAGTGCCCCATATTTCTGTTGCAGCTGCTGATGTGCCGTCTATTAACAATGTTGGTCCTGCTAGGAATATTGGGGAGTCAAATAATATGCAAAAACCTATCAAAATAGATGAACCCGCACTTGTTAAGTTGAAAAATGAAAGGGACCCTGAAAAGTTGTTTAATTTGTTTAAGGCCAATGCCCACAATAAGGTTCTTGTTGAAAATCGATTTGCATTCGAGGATACAATTTCTAGGTTAGCTGGTGCTGGTCGGTTTGATTACATTGAGAATTTGCTTGACCATCAGAAAACTTTGCCGCAGGGCCGGCGAGAAGGATTCATAATTCGAATTATAGTGTTGTATGGGAGGGCTGGAATGTTTAAACACGCTGTTAATACATTTTATGATATGCATCTGTATGATTGTAAGAGGACAGTTAAGTCGTTTAATGCTACGTTAAAGGTGTTGACTCAATCCCGTGATTTGGAGGCGATTGAATCTTTTCTAAGAGATGTGCCGTTCAACTTTGGCATCGAGCTAGATGTGTTTTCTATTAATATTGTTATCAAAGCATTTTGTGAAATGGGTTTATTGGATAAAGCTTATTTGGTCATGGTTGAGATGGAAAAGATGGGAATAAGTCCGGATGTGATTACATACACAACACTAATAGCGGCCTTTTACAAGGCAAACCGATGGGAGATTGCCAATGGATTATGGAACCTTATGATACTAAAGGGTTGTCTTCCTAACGTGGCAACCTTCAATGCCAGAATTCAATTCTTAGTGAATAAAGGGCGAGCTTGGGATGCTAACAAGTTATTGGGTTTGATGCATTGCTATGGGATACGTCCAGATGAGATAACATATAATTTGGTGATTAAAGGCTTTAGCTGTGCTGGATACCTTGAAATGGTAACGAGAGTTTTTAATGCTTTTTGCCATGAAGGATACAAGCCCAATCAAAAAATTTATCAGACCTTGATCCACTATCTTTGTCGAGCAGGTAATTTTGATTTGGCATACACTTTTTGTAAAGACAGTATGCAAAAGAATTGGTATCCTAGTGTGGATAGCATCTGTAAGCTGCTTGAAGGTCTGAGGAAGGACAAAAAACTTGACAAACTTGAAAAGGCCAAATATATTTTTCTCCTGGCTCAGAAAAGGGTACCTCCTTTTTCTAGTGATCAAATAAGTGCCATGAAATCTACATTGTCGAGGAGTTGAAATAGACATTGGATGGTGAACTGTTGCATGAAACGATATGGAGGCTAAGCAGCAGGTAACTTTCCATATAAATCATCTATCATTGAATGAAGTTGATGGGATATGCTCTTCTGAGAGATGACATTTAGGTGAAGACATCGAATTTTCTTCAATTAAGTTGGGGTACTGCCTTAATCAGATGCATGGTGAAATGGAAGTGCTAAGATGAGGAACAACCTAAGTTTTTGTAAGTTACTTAAGGATATAATTATTTCTCCTCTTTTTCGTAGTGTCATTGTTGATGTACATAGATCTTTGTGTGCAAGTTTATGTCCGTCAATCAATGTTCTCTTTGCTTTGCATCTTCATTCCTACCTGTACACTTTGTAGTACTAATGCTTCATTTAGTGCAGTCACAATCATCAAATCTTTTAGTGCAGTCACCAACATCAAATCTTTGTAAACTATAAACCATTTTTGAGACTTGTGCATGTTATTTTCCTTGTAATCAGATTTGTGATGAATGGAATATCTGTGAAGCAGCAAAAGTACTCTTATTGCGGCCCCGTAGATGGCATTTTGAAAACTTTGGCCCACTAATGGTTAGTTTTGCTATCCCTTGGCTATACATGCCTATTTACTTGTGGTTATCAAACAACTATTAGTACTTCAGTCATATTTGATACATGTAGACTAAGCTATACATAGGAAATACATGGAGTGGATTTTGAGAGTGACATCAGGGTACTTAGAGATGGCTAATAAGTAATCTTTATAATTTATTGCGTGCGTACATATATGCTCAAAACACAACATATAGAGGGTGTTTAGTGGGGATTAAAATTAGATTTTTAGTAGATTATGATATAAGTTTTTGAAATGTGTGATTGAAAAGTTGTGGGACCCATGAAATATGGTAAATGTTGATTGTTTGACTTTAACTTAGATTAAAATCAGATTTTAATTCAAACCAAATAGACTGATACTCTTACACTCACTAAAAATTGGTTCTGCGGAATTAGATATGATGACTGACAAATTAATTATTTTATGTTGGATCCAAAGAATTGGAAAAATCCAATACTCCCAATTTCCTTAATGTCTGGAAAATAATTTATATCTTTGTACCAAATCAATTCACTGATCTCCCTTGTGGGATAGGTTCAAATTCTCACTTAGAATTATCATTATAAGGTGGCAAAGAGTGTGCACCTTTCTCATGAAAAATAAGAATAATAAAAATTCAAGCGACATTACACCTGTGGATGCAAAGGAGGAGGGATCCCCCCCCCCCCCCCGCGGGCG